CTAAAATGTGGACTGGTGACATGTCGACTGGTGACTCTTGTTCCTCAGTACCTGCGCTCTGCAGGTAAATAGAGAAAAAGTTCAAGTGCCTCAGATAAATTTGTACCGATGACGGAAAATGGGAGGAAGACTTCGACCGGCGAATCAGGATGACCAGCAGCTTGTGCGCGAAATACTCAGGGCAGTGTGACTAAACAGGACTGAGTACAAAGACAAAGCTGCCAGTGTTCAGATCTACTTTGACCCAATGCTCACTTGTGTGAAACCTAGGTCATGACTGAAAAACCTCGATCCAGGGTAGAACTTGGATTTTCTGAAACGAATCGTTGGGCTCGCGCGTCTCGACATGGTCAGGAGTACAGATACATGCGGGAGCTAGTTTCTGTGTGCAGCTGTTGCTATTCAGATTGAGAAGCCATATCCGTAATGGCGCGTCAGACAATCGCCTTCTTACTTCAGTGGATATACGACTGATTCGCGCTCGTAATGAATAAGTCCAGCATTTGGGTGTCGAATCTCCTTACGACGGTCACAAAGCCGTCTTGTTACCAGCTGCTTCGACTTTGGTAAATAGCTTCTGGTTCATGATTTTCAGCAATGGACGCCAAAAATAACAAGGGTGCAGTGAAAGCTCTAATATTCAAGCGAAGTATAATAAATCGTTTTACGACGTGATGTTAGATATTCAAAAAAGCAGTTACTTCAGTTTTTCAAGGTAAAACAAATCATATATGTTCAACTAAAGCTCAATATCTTCACTCATGCAATCGGAGCTTAAAAACCCTCAATTTTTTTCAGCAGGCGAATTAAATTGCATTGCCACAGTATTTCTGAATTGACGCCAGGAATGATTTGCTGGCGTTGTATAATAAAAGATCTGGATCACTTGTTCTTTTTATTTTTGAACTGATCACTCATGTAGAATTTTCAGAGCTAACATTATTGCACAGAGGAGGCGGCAGTTTTACAAATAAACAAAATAACCACCATAGGGAAATTCATTTTCCCAAACCCTTACCTTAATTTTCTATAAATACTTTTCAAGCAACTGTGTCCAAGGGAGGGTTTTCTTAAAATGTACAAATTCTATGCTTGTTGTCTGTATCAGTCATAATTAAATTAACGTTGCAAACATTCTCAATGGCATATTGCTTCAAAATATTGAGATAATCATTTGAAACGGAAGATAATTCCCCTCCTCTTTTCCTCCTTGGTGTCTTGATAATTAACTCTAGTCGCTGTTATATATATATATATGAACATGTATAAATGGTTAAACTTAAGTTAACATAATCGTACCAACAATAAAGGCTCATCAATTGCAATGATCTGTTGCTCTACAGTAGCAAAATTAACAAAGAAGTGTCTACGTAAGGACAATAGCTTCACCATGACATTTGTTGACTATATTATATACCATAGGATAACGAACTGTAATACAAATCATGATAAACACAATGTTCTAAATAATAGACCTTATTTCGTTGCCTTTTGCATAAAAGCTTCAGCGAGAGCCTATAAGATTAATTAATCCTGAATATGATATTATCGTAATATATGACAGGTCTAAGAAATTTAATTTTCTATCAAGTTACTCTGAGAATATCGTCAAGGTAGGCTGGGTTTGTAAAATGGCAAATAACTGTCGAATTATTTCACAGTAACGGCACAGTAATTGCTTACGATTACTCCGCAAAGAACACTGTCGCTAAAAAGCGAAAAATCCCAACTATCAAGTTGGAGGTGATTGATGACCATGGGCGAGCGTAAAAGACATATGCTAACGAAGCAACCCGAAACAAGACGAAGCTTCGATACGGATCAAGTCAAGAACCAATGCGACTAGATCTCTGGAACTGTGCAGACCACAGAGGTCATTCTAACACCGTCAGACTGTACCAACATCATCAAGGAAGAGAACTAGCAGAACAGCAACGTCAACGAATAATTAATCATTCATTCATTTGTGACATAAGATGCCAACTGTGTGAGAACCAGATGAGCCTCGTTGCTTGGTGCCAAAAATTATTTAACCGGCAGTACCAAAAGCCCATCACTGAACTCCAACCATGCCACCTGCAGCAAACGACCTGAACAACACCTGAACTTCGTCAGCAGCATACTTTGAACAAAGCTGGAGAAATGTCGGAAAAAGTTGGTATCAGTCAATATTCCGATTGATCACTATATTGCCCTGTGATCCGTAAACCGTTCTGATGCAGTTTTTAATCTGGATGAGTTGTTAATCAATAGTTTGTTGCGCATGCGAAACTTCAAGAAATTTACTTAAACCACTGCACTTTTCTTACAATAGCTTTCGCTACCGGCTTGAGTGTTTCTTGAAGGCAAAGAGTTGAAGGCTGTTTGCTTCAAAGCTGCCTTTTGAATATAACCTTCGTGCCGCTGACAGCCATTTGAACCTTTCTTGTCCACAAAGAAATTCGTTTCTGATCTGCAGGCTACATGCCTCCTACAGTTCCTCTTAATCGTTCATCTGCGCGTCTTCTGTCGCATCAGTTATTTCGATCTCTCGTCCAGTAGCTTTGTCCGATATGATTTCACTAAGCTGGGGTGGTAGATGAACTTCTTGCGCAATGATGTCACTATCAAGTGCTGTTTTGATTTCCAATTCCAATTGTATTACTAGCATGTTCTGTTCAATAAGCCGTTTATAGTTTTTTAGGCGTTGCTCGTTTGCAAAACTGTGAAGGGAAGGCCTTCTTCAATGCTTCAGCATTCGTTTTCGATAATCACTATCCCGCTTGATAGCAGTGTGATGGGACCTTTTGTTCCTTCTGCCACTGCTGGCACACATGTCACCATTCTTCCACGTGTTCAGGCACAGAAATACGTGAAACAGGTTCTATTCAGCCACTTATCACAGAATACATCCTTTCCGCAACAGCCTGAACGACCCTTGGTAACCCGGACATCGGCCAATCCGTTGAGGAACAGTTTCATTGTGGTACAGCATAATGGGTGCATGATTGATTCCATTTAATTTGACCTATTGCCTCAAACGTGCCCAAGGGGCCCTTAGATATTGGTGGCCGTATCAGCCTACTAACTGCAAACCCATTGTGTCACTGCCACTCCACCGCACAGTAAATAATGCTCGCGCAATCCTGACACTTTTCACATATGTCAAAGTGCTCCCACGAATATAGGGAGTGCATGAGCGAGAAAGCGTACCTCGAACTCAAGGAATGCCTGGATCGACAAGTATTTTATGACACATAAATAGCGTTGCAACTATTTCAGTTTTCAGAAAGTCTGTGCACAGTGCAGAATTTGCATTAACAGGTTGTTGACTGATGCCGAAGATCCGATGAAGGATAAAGCTGGGGTGATAATGATAAATAAGCAACGACTGGCTGCTCGTCTTGACATCCTGCTAGAAACAAGCAGCGCATTGCGTTTTACGTTGCGCAAATATATCGCGCTATTGTGCTGAAATCGGATAGCAGCATGTCAGAGGGAAACTGCTGTAAACGATTTAAAGCCTCCACTAAAATTGCGTCTTGAAGACCTCAGAATCGAAATCCTTTCGCGGTCATTCAAGTAAGATTAATCGGTGACACTTGAGGTGCAAGTCTGAAAGGCGCTGATCAACGGGATGGCCAAGGAGTTGCGAACGTCGTGTGTACGATGCATTACGAGCAGCCCGGTGACGTTCCTGGAATTAAACCCTATTTAAGAACGGCCGTAATGTTCAGCTGCGCTGTGAGATAAATTTTCTCTAACCTACGCTACTAAGGTCTGTTTCTATTTCAGGGCTAAGAGAAACTCGAACTCACATCTTCTTCGCAAAGCGTTTCTCGCAGTTTCACTCACCCCTCCGGCAACTGCTTGCTAACACAATTCAGCACCTATTGCGTAGA